ATTTCCAGATTGAATTTCTGGCGGATTAAATAAAGGGTTGCGTGAAGAATAGTGATCAGTTTGCAGATCTTTACACATTAGTCGAAAAGAATTCCTGAAGATGATGACGAAGATTGTACTTCAAATAAAGATAAAATTACTAAAGGAGATAAATATGAATCGTTAAGTGATGATTATCAAAAATGAAAAAGAAAGTTAATGATCATTAGAATAATAATAAAGTTGTGATTTATACGAAAAAAATCTTGTTCTCTTTATATTATTGGTTTTTTTTATTGATTTTAATTCGGATTAACTATAAAATATAAACATGATCACAAGTTTCAATTTTTCTATTTCAATTGAAATAAGAGCAAGATACCCGTGGTGGATTTCTTATTTTGGATCAGGGCGATGAGGGTCACATAACGTGTTTTGAAGTCCATTAGAGATTGTATCGGGTTATTTTTGAGTATTTTTTGCTGAGAAAAAAATTGAAAAATGTTTCGGCAGGTAGAAGCGATTGTCTGCAGCGCTTCCTTCTAAATCCACCATTGTCAGACACATATTTGTTTTTCATTTATTTACTCAGATATTATCGTCGTGACCAATTTGCAAATCTCCAGTGAGGAAATGTGTCCTAAAATAGATAGAATAAAACAATCTCTCGATGATTAGCAACAATAGCAGTTATATTGTGTTTCATATATTAATCTCGAAAGAATTTTACTAATAGCTTTTATTATTTTAGTGTTTAAAACATCCATATTTTAAAGTAAGCCAAGATTTATTGGGAACATCAAGTTCAAATGTTTCAGTCATTAATGAATCATCACCATCAGCTCAATCACGTGATTCCAAACAAATTTTTACAGATGATTGGCAAACAGATGGAGTAATTGACGTTTTTTTTTCTCTAAAACAAAATATGAATTAAAGAAAGTTTTTCTTTTCTTCTTTTTATAAGGATAAAACTCCAGTTAGTTCAAGTGACTTGAATGATTTAGATGCATTACTTAAAGAATTTGAACAACCAGCTAGATCAAACATAAAAGAAAATCTTAATAATCAACAACAAAAATCCACTAAACAAACAAGTGGATTTGGATTTGATAATTCTCAACAACAAAAAGTATCTGTACCATCAATACCAAAATATGATACAACGACATCAGATAATCGAAAAGGAATTATTCCAATATTTTCAAAGTCAAATATTAATTCTGAAAATCGTCATGGATCACATTTAAAACCATCACGTAAACCATCGATTGATCAATCATTTGATATTGATGCTATATTACAAGGACGATCAATTCAACCTCCACAACCATCAAAAATTATACCTCCAATGGCACCAATCAAAGATTCGGTTGCATCACCAAGAAGAGATAGCTTATCAGATTGGTTAAATGATGATAGTTTAATAAAAAAATCAAATACACAAAAAACAACAACAAATGTCATTAGTAAACCACCAATGCGTTTCAATGCAGATGACTATTTTTCGAATGCAAGTAATAATAATAATAATTATAATAATCGAGATCAAAATGAAACTAAAGCACCATTTTTAACAACAAAACCATCTGCTAAGCAATATTATTTGGGAAGTACAAGGTACAAACCAGGTAAGAGTTCTTTTTACTATTATTATCTAAAATGATATTTGTATGATTATTGACTATTTAGGTATTAATCCTCGACAAGCAGTACGTCGTGATAGTTTCAATCTCCTTGCGGAGCTGGCGAACAATAGTAATTCAGCAAGTATGTACTTCGTTGTTGGCTATGATTTAAGTAGTCAGTAAAATAGATAAAAAAAATATAGATTTTATTTAATGGACTGATCTGGGTCAAAAGTCAACAACCACTAGGCAGGCTTTCTTCAATCCACTCTAGTCCATTGCGACTGATAATAAATAATTTTCACTAGCACAACAAGCCAAACTATCCGTTGAGAAAAGTCTTAATTAGATGAGTGGCCCATGGCTTAGAGATCATCGGGTCCAAGAGTTTTTGGACCCGAAACTAGACTTAACTGGTCAAAATTGTTGGATTTGAGCTTTGTTGGTTGATCTTTCGTGCGTAGAGCCCATCGGGCTCGGGTAGGATTCGATAGGTTCTATCATGGATAGATCATTTTTTTAAGAATAAACAATGGGCTGGGTCGCGTCGAAGGTCGATAACCTATGATCCGGCTTTCTTCAGTCCAGCCCAGCTATTGAAGCCTCTGCTTCATATAATATTTTGGTCATTCATTTCCAATCGATACTTCTGTTACATTGACATTATTGAATGTATACCTTGCTAATTCCATATTTTGATTTCTATTGTATAGCTCGTGGTCCAAAATTAACTTCATATGTACCAACATTTGGGGACCAAAGAAAACGTAAGTTTATAAATATTTAAATTTATTTTTATTTACTAAATTTTTGTTTTAGCTTCAGTTCAACAACCTTCGACACTTTTTAGCGATTGGCCTCGGTAAATTAGTTATTGTGTATATATTTATTGTCATATTTATCTCTTTATTTTTAGTTTTGGTCAATAATCAAATTAAATTCTTGCCCTAGATTCAAACTGAAAGCACACATCTCTTTCTTTCTCGTATTTTTCTCTTTTTCTTCTTTTTTTTTCTCCTCTTATATCACATCACTTAGATGGCTCTTTCTTATTTTCAAATATGCTTGCGCTTTTCATATTTTACACATTCTCTCATTGTTAAATTTTAACAAGACCAGGAAAATAATCTAAATCTTATTTTCTTCTCACTATGGCAACAGTGAGCCAACAAAAAAAAAAAGAATGCAACTGCCAAACAGTCTGTCTTTCGTATCGTATATTAACAATATAATATAAAAATATATAATGAAGATCAACATTTTCTTTATTGCGTTCTTTTATGTTTTTTCTTATTTCTGTATGTTATTACACCATATTGACGAAAACAGGTGGAAAAATATAAGAATAAAAAGTGATGTTGTTTGTTTAATAAATTTACGAAATAGAAAATGTTAGCAATTGTCTTGATTCTAATGGTTGAAAAATATTTTACAATCAAATTTTGCTTTTAATTAATTAATAAAATACTCAATTTGAACTGTTTATGAAGAAGCAAGGCATCTATCGGAAAAGTTAAATAATTATTACTATAGGATAACAAAATGAAACATTAAATAGTGCAATGAATGTTTACATGACTATATTTTTGTTCAAGAAATATAGGCAGATGTTTTTCATGTATTTTGAAATGTCTGAAGAGAAAGTATGAGTCATTTTAATGTAGAATTGATTCAATCAAAATATGTTCACTTAGTTCTTTTATTGAAATAAGAAAACAAATGTCGACTTTTTTTCTCTACATATGTGTTTTTTGGCAAAATTAGAATACAGGCAAGAATCAATTCGAACTAGAATTTCAGTTTTGCATCTGAGCAAAGTTATAATTCGACTAGAAATAATTTCATACAATAGAAATCGAAGAACTATTTTTTGTTATTCAACAGTATCAAAGATAGACGGAGCTGTTTCACGCTTCGCATGTCTCTTTCTTGCACGGTGAACGCGTTTCGAGAACCCAAAATCGTTTTTTCAGTGATCTTTCAGCACGAATAAAACCATGAGATGACACAATGCTGCACCGGACAGCTCCGTCTATCTATGAACAGTATCTTTTCATTGCACTAAACGATTTACCAGATAACAAATTATAATCTATTCACTTATATTTGTACAACCATCTTGTTTTGAATGACATATTGTCGAATACAAAAGTCTAATTTTTTTAACACGAATATTGTTTTTTAGCGCATTTATCTTTACAATCGTAGGTGCAATCGGTTATTGAATTCATAATACAGACATTTTTCGATTAATCTTAGTGAGTGTATTGAATTCAAGATACCTGTATATTGTGTCACTTATCAGCAGGGTACCATGTAACTAGTATGCCGTAGGCTCTTCGTTGAATGTCTTACTGAGAATCGTCTCAGTACATCGGTACTTATCAGGTATCTGCGTAGTTTCTTTAGCATTCTACGGAAACGTTTTCAACAGGTTAATAGATTGAATATTCAGAAGCGTTTTTATAGTACTAGACTAAAAAGCCATAAAGTACCCAAAGGTTCCTATGATATTATTATTCTAATTTGTGTTTAAAACATGCAATGATAAACTCTTCACTAAAGTGTTTATGAGCACAGAAAACCGTACAACAATATATGGATTTGCACCGGGTCATAAACTCTCACCAAAGTTTATGAACAGAAAGAATTTATGAAAGAGGTAAATTGTAACGCGTACATCCACATCTATACCTTTTATCGACACGACCGCTACAATTACAATGTTTTCCGGTTGTATAATTCCACTCTACTTTTAGTAAAGCACATGATAGTATGAGTTTATTTCTAGTCGAATTCTAATTTTGCACCGATAAAAATGAAATTCTAGTTCTGACTGTTGAGTGTATAATCAAGAATAGAATACATTTAATAATGAATGCTGTTATTCATGAGATCTTATGTCATTTATTTTCAAACAAACGACGATAAGAAAAATATGAATTATTAAACTTATATTATTTGTTCAATGTAACAACTAGTTTTTATTCTGATAGAACACTAGTTGCTATCATAAAAGCGTAAAAAACTCGTGAACAACAAGAATAATATAAAATCAAGTAAAAAGTAAATAGAGATGTGTCTAACATTTCTTTTTTTTTTTCTTCGTAACGTTTCCACTTTTAAGAAAGATCGCTATATAAAATAACCGGAATCGAACAATTTTTTTTTCTTCCTCAATGTTAAAATTTTTTGTTGAAAGATGTTGATTATATTTACTGGTATGGATAGGTTCATAGGTCAAGAATAAAGATTTTTTAAATTCTTTTTCTTTCTCATGCAACAAAAAACTTGTTTTTTTTTATCGATCATGATTGTGTAAAAGAATTATCTTTGATTTGTCTAGAGTTCATTTATCAACGACAAATTATAATTCTAAGCAACTAAAAATAAATGGAAAATACATCAAGTGGTATTTTTTTTTAAATAAATAAATCTATCTTCTATTCTTTATTTCAAAATAGATTTATCACCAATTGAAGAAGCAATATTAAAACGAATATTAACTAATCAAACTGTTGAAGGTGTTATTGTAACAAATGAAGATAGACAACTTCAATATACATCATTGGATAATAATATTACATTTTTCATAAGTTCAAAATTACTTTCTTTTGCTGATATTGTTCGATCAACTATCCGTGATATTGATCCAACAGATGATTTATTAACATTTCGTCTTCAAACACGACATAAAGAAATGATGGTTGTTACACCTAATGATGGCATGCAAGTAATTGCTATACAAAAGATTAATTTATCATCATCAACATCGCCAAAACAACAAAATGACAAGGAACATAATGACAATTTTTCATAGGAAGATTGTATCAAAAAATAAAAAATAAAAGAAAGGAGTCAAATCTCATTTCTAAATAATTTTTTGTTTTGGAACTCGAAGAGAAATTATTTTATTTATTTTTTTCTTACATTCCAACAAATCAGAGTATTATAAAGAATCAGATTATAGCATTGACAATAACATAGAAATAAGCTTGAATTATATTGTTCAATTGAAAATAAAATATATCGACTTGGTCACTTAAAAATACAAAGCCTATTTTTCTAATATTTCTTCTATTATAGAAATAAAATCAACAGAAATCTATTTGTTCTTTCATATAAAACAAATTTCAAATAAATTCCAATATTTTCTGATTGAGAATAACTGAATGATATTTTTCATCGTTTTCTTTTATAAAGGTAACCTTTTTATTAGAGAACATAATTCTGGGGAGAAAAATGCACCGTCATATTCCCTACAAGAATAGCAATGAAAAACTCTATTGTATTGTTTTAAATATTTTTCGTATAAAATTTAAGCTGAAACACTATGTAAAAGTCAAATGTCTCATTATTTTGAGAGAAACAAAAATGAAAATAATATTAAGAAAAAAATCTTCTTTTTATTTCAAACAAATATGTGTATGATATTATAAAAGTTCAAGTGAAATAATATAAAAATCATGAATGTTCATGGAAAACAATTATGATTGCCATTATGTTGTTCAACTACACGAATTCCTTGAAGGAAAGAATCGATCACTGTGAGAACATAACTCAAATGAATTTTTTTGGTGTGCTTTATTGATTTGTTTCTGCTTGTATTTTAAGTTTTTTTATAATTAATATTCTCATCAACATCAGTTATCTAATAAGCTTAAGTCCGATGAGTTAGAAGGCCATCGATCGATTTCTGTATTTTTTTGCCCATTATTATAATAGACAAAAGCGACTTTATGAAGATCGTTATATTTTATCATTGAAAAAATTCATCAGCATAATTCAAAGGATTCTTTCATGCAAAAGTACACTCAGTGTTTATACTATATCCAAAAATAATTTTACTCTTAAACGTCAAGTCATAGTAGAATTTGACATATAAAAATCTTGACTAGTTATTTTTCCTTGGACGATATTTTAAATTAAGTTAATTTTTTCAGAGTTATTCTAAAAAAAACTGAACCTCTATAAATGTAAAGAGGAGAACATGAACTAAATTTTGGTAACTAAAACTTTTTACAAGCACATTGTTTATATTGTAACCGACCTACGTTACGACACGCCATAAACATAATGTTCATGTAAAATCTTTAGTATTTTTCTAATATGATTAATTTTTCTTTCCAAATATCACATCCGAAAGAGTATCGAACATTGCATAAGGTAGCAGAGAGTTTAAAGTTCCACAAGAGACGTTTTCAATTTTTTAGGAGCCATGTTCTGAAAGATTTGCAACGTCTGATACTGTTCCGAATGTTATATTTGGAAAGAAAAATTATTCATATTAGAAAATCGATAACAATTTTACATAAAAATTGTATGCTCTTCATCGTAAAATAGACAGGTTACATTATAGACAATATTCTTCTAAAAAAGTTTTAGTTACCGAAATGTAGTTCGTGTCCTTCTCCTTGCATTTATAGAGGTGGAGTTTTCTTAAAACAACCCTAGAAAAGCTAACTTAGTTTAAAAGATCATCCAAACAAAATCGACTAGCCTGGATTTTTATATGTCGAATTTCACTGTGACTTAATATTTCGGAGTAAAATTTCTGTGGAATATAGTATAGACATTGAGTGTACTTTTGGCGGAAACTGTTCATCAGTTATATTAAAAACAAATTCATTCAAAAAAATTTTGTCCAGTATTATATATTCAAAATAATGGAATATTTCACTATTACATAGTGCTTCAGTTTTATACTAATAGGAAAATCATCGAAAGAATTCAATAGGATTTTTTTTAGTTACCGTTTTTGTAGAAAATTTGGCAGAGCATCTTATTAAAAAATATTTAACGCTATAGGATTTATCTATATAGAGATATTTGCAAAATATCCGACATTGCAATTATTTTGCTTCATCTAGTGGTTCATTATTCTTTTTTTCCAATATTGTCTCCTTTTATTGTAAACTATCGAATTTTATTACGGAGGAAGCGCATTTATAACAAGTGAATCAATTAAAAAAACTAATCAAACATGGAATCACAGAACAAAAAAAAATATCCATTTCATTATCAATCATTAAAATTGCATCATGACATTTATAATTTTGACTGTTGTTCAACATTCATTGGTTTTGTTATTCTATCACTAACTTCATAAAGTGATTGAATAACATGTTGAAAATATTGTCGAGCTATTGTTCGTCGAGTTTTAAATGTAGATGTAATAAGACCATTTTCTTGTGAGAATAGTTCTGGATGAAGATGAATATTACTAACTGTTTCATAATATTGATATTTATATTCTTTAGCTAATTGTTTTAAATCAGCTAAAATAATTTCTTTAAGTTTTTCATCTTTACATAAATCTTCAAATGATATGTTTGGATTTGTCGTTCGAAATTTACTTCGTACATATTCTTCATCAGGTATAACAATTGCTACAACAGTTGATTCTGATGATATTCCATCTACAAATATTTGTGCAACCCATCGACAACGAATATAACCATCTTCAAGACGTTCAGGTGCAATATATTCACCTTGACTTAATTTAAATATATGTTTTACACGATCAATAATACGTAAAGAACCATTACTTGTCCATTCACCAACATCACCAGTATGAAGCCAACCACCTTTATCAATAGTTTCACGTGTTTTTTCTTCATCACCATAGTAACCTACAATATAAAAAATGAATAATAAACTAGTTAAATTTTCAAAAAAACCATGTTAGCGTCCAATCTTAGATTCGCCTAAAATTATCAGACGAATATTAGTTTGCATATATTGTAACTGATCAATTCGAGAATAGCCTGAATTCATGTACATCCCATATCGGATCTCAAATTGGACGCTGATATATATTTGAAAATTTACCTTTAAAAACAATTGGTCCTCGAATACAAATTTCTCCTTGATTATTATTACTTCGATAATTTGTATTAGGTACATCAATAAGCTTGATTTCAACTGAAGGAACAGGTGAACCAACAGTACCACATGACGTATCAGTAATATGTGTACTTGTACCAGCAGCTGTTGATTCAGTTTGACCATAGGCTTCGACAATAGGTATATCAAGTGCAATACGAAAAAAATGTAATACTTCAGGTGTTATTGGTGCTGAACCAGTTAACATAGCATGAACTTCTCCACCAAATAACTTTTTTATTTTTCGAAAAATAAGACGTGAAAATAATGTTGGTTGTTCATTATGTAGTGCTTGTGAAATAAGAAAACGTTTTATTTTACTTTTACCTACTTCAGTCATTATTGTATCATAAACTTTATTTAAAATTCTTGGTACCATAGAAATATTTGTTGGTTTTACAATTGGATAGTATTCAAAAAGTTTTTCTGGTATTGGACAAAAAACAACTTGTGAACCATGAAGAAAATAACTGATAAGTACTGAACGTTCATATAAATGTGCCATCGGTAAAAATGAACAATGTCTATGACTAGGTTCACCATCTATATTGGCACGTCGTCGACGATCAATATTACCTTTTATTGTTGCCAAAAAGTTTGTATGTGATAACATTGCAAGTTTAGGTTCACCTTAAATATCAATATTATTAATTTTTTTTTTCAACAATATCTTTTTTCATCAAACCTGTTGTTCCACTTGTTAAAATAAAAGCAGCTATACTCTCTGGATCAACTTTAGGTCGTGAACGAACATCTGACTGTTGCATAGATTCTAAAATGGTTGGAATATTTTTTATTTTTGTATCTTCATTACTTGTTACATTATCCATAATAAGAATTTCTTTTAGATAATTTTTTTCTAATAATTCATTTTTATATGATTCAATACGATTTAAATTATCGACAACCAATACTTCTGTTTGTGTTTTTTCTAATATCGATAAAATAGTTGATGAATTATAAGTTGTATATAGAGCAAGGACAGTGAAACCATACATATAACAAGCATGTTCAACAAATGAATATTCAGGTCGATTTGATGAAATAATAGTAACTATAGATTTCATTGGAGTTAATTTAGCTTCTGTCCATAAATGTGAACCAATTAGACGTATACGTTCTAATGCCATTGAATAAGATATCCATTGAAATTCTTTTGTCATATTTACCGGATCAATATAAGCTATACATGGTCCATTTTTAGACACCGAATAACCATTATAGAAAGCATCACCTAATGTTTGTACATTAGGTAGAACTGTTTTATAAAATGAAAAAATATCAATATCTTTATAAAAAGTACAACGACGAATATGTTCTACAGGATCGATTTCAACTGTTTGATTTTTAAGATCAATTCCATCATCATGTTTTCGTTGAATACGTGATTTATATGCATGTGTACCAGCATATGTAACTACAACAGCTCCAGCAGCTAATGCAGCATAAGTACCATGGGACTTAGAAAATGATGAGGGCATCTTTTTTGTCGTCTGAAAGAAAAAGAATTTCACAAGTAAAATCTAACATTTGAAAATTCTTTTCTTTTTTTTTTAAACAAAACCAAATAATGTCTAACAAAAAACTGAATAATAATTATGAATAAACTTTAATGTATCTTCATAAGATAAATATTCTGTTCGATTATTGTATACATCGATAACTTCACATAAATTTTCTTTAGTCTAAATAAATAAATAAATAGATTGAGTCTTATAGAAATAAATCTTACAGCTCGTTTTCCAAACACTATAACAATAGGAATACCCATTTTTTGACAATCTTTTAATCGATAACCAATCGTTAATTCATTACGATCATCAACAAACCATTCTGTATTATCAAGTTTTAATAAACGACCAAGAGTTTTTTCATTACCATTTGTTTCTTCAGGACTACCTTTCTAAAACAAAAAATTAAAGATGATGAATAATGTTTTTTCTATTAAATTGAATAAAAACAAAACATGACAAACTTTTGGTGGTACAATAGCTACTTGATAAGGAACAATCCGCCTTGGCCATCGTATATCATTGGAGTCTTTTGGTGTAAGTATTTCAACTGTTGCTGCCATTAAACGTGTTAAACCAATACCATAACAACCCATTATTAATGGTCTATTATAAAAAGAAATCGGTATATATATTGCAAAATTCTATGTTTCTTTCACTTTTTTTCAGTTGCAATATCTGATGATCCTTCTATTGCATTAAATGCTTTTGTATAACGATCACCAAGAAGAAAACAATGACCAAGTTCAATAGCATGTTGTTCAGTTTTTTCTGTATGTTCACATTGAGTTTTATTTTTTAGATATCCACGATTACATCTAAAAGTAACAAATCATATGAACTTATCAAATCAGAATTAATATCTTTGAAAATTTTTTTTTATTATTCTAGTCTTTATTAATATAGTCAATAAAAAAAGAAATATGATTTATATCATTTTCCCCTAATAAAACTGTCTAAAAACTTCATTGGATATATCAAAATAAAAAGCATATTTCTAATAAAACATGATAAATATAGTAGATTAGATATTACTTTATATAGAAAAAGATAAACATCTCGTCAAATAATGAAAACTCAATCGAACAGCTTACAAAGTCTAAGCTTGCATCTATCGAGTGTTAGAAAAGAATCTATTAAATTAAAATATATAAATATTTATAGTTAGAATACTAATTTTCGGTATTTAATATTTGTTTTAAAACAAAAACTACAAGTCATATAATAGTCAAGAAAAGAAAAGAGATAAAAAGAAAAAAACAAAGAAGTTTTATTTTGCTGATATCTCAAATAGTTTCTCACGTATGTCATAAACGTCATCTTTATTATCGGTTTCTTCTTCAAAAATTTCTGAATCTCCATTTTTTTTTCGTGAAAATTATATTAATCATAACTTAACATACATTGGACAAATAAGTAATGTATCTTCACCAACAGCTGATATTCCTAAAAATTCATGATTTAATGAACCACCCATTAGACCACTATCAGCTGGTACTAAATAAAAATCAAACTCAAAAAAACAATATTAGTCAATAATGAAATATGTATACCTTTAAAACAATTTAACTCTAATTTTTGAAATATTCTTTCATATGCATCACATACTTGATCATATATTTGTCGTGCACATTTTTCATCTGTATGAAAACTATACAGATCTAAACATGAATATAGAAAAGAATAAAAATTCTTTAAACTAAAAAAAAAAAAAGAAAAAAGAAAAATTAAAGACCTTTCATAAGAAATTCTTTTGTTCGTAAAAGACCATGACGATAATTTGGTTCATTACGATATTTCCATGTAATCTAGATTTGCTAATGATACATAAACATTTTCTATTTATTAAAAAATTAATTAATTAATAATTTACCTGATAGACCAATAATGGATAATTACTTCGTGGAATTGTTTTACAGACAGATGAAACAAGTTTAGTAATTGCTTCTTCATGAGTCTAAAATCAAACAAAATCTTTCTTTATTAAAAAAACAAAACCTATACTCATTTACTGGACTTAAACAATATTCTTCATCATGATCTTTAAATTTAAATAATTCATCATGCATTAAATTCCATCGATCTACAATTAATCTTTAAAAAAAAAAAATCTTCAAAATAATCTATTCATACCACTCGTTTCCCAAATATTTTTTCGTCCGATTGCTGGAAGTGATAATTCTTGTCCTCCAATATTATTCATTTCATTTCGAATTAAAGTTTTTAATTTCGTTAAAACACGAAAACCTTTAAAAAAAAAAAGAAAAATGAAACTACATTCATCATTGATTCATAATCTTTTTTTTTATATTACCTAATGGTAATAATTGTGGAAATCCATGTTCTACACTATGAACGATAGCTGTTTGTTGTAATAACTAATAAAATAAAATTTGAATTTGATTTGAAATAAAAAAAACTATAAATAAAGAATAATGAATTACTGATTGACTTTTCGAACGAGTTTCTCTTGGAAGATGAACTGGTGTTGGAAGAAACATTCGTGAACGTTGTTGAATTGCATGACGAATATGTGTTATGAAAACCATTCGATCTGAAATGAAAATTAGTTTCTATAACTATATAAAATTGATGATTGACGTTGAGAGGAAGAAGTTAAAAAATTTATCTTTCTTTTTTATCTTTTAATATCAAATATATTTTCAGTTAATTTTGTAATTGGTTTTTCATTTGTAAATTCTGCCTTAATGATCTTTGATTTTGGACTTCCTTTTGTTTGAAGCCAAATTTTCATTTGATCTATATTAGTTTTATATCCTTCCATATGTCCTTGTACTGTATTCATTTTCGTATTTTTAACCCATCCAACAAGATTTAATTTTGTAGCTTGTTCTTGAGTATGTTGACGAAAATACACACGTTGAACAGTACCAAATATTTCAAAATCACATGAACGTAATGATTCATTTGATGTATTAGTTAGATCTTTACCTGTTGTTGTTGTCGTTGTTGAATCCGAAAGACATGATACTAAAAATAACAATTTCAGCAATTGTCAAAAAAGAAAATAAACAGTAAGCGATGAGCATAGTAAGAATGTTTTACCTGATTGTATTAAACATACACGATTTACAATTTCGAAAAATCGATAAGCATAAAGACTACGAGCTAAAATAGTCATTATTTCATATAGTTTTATTTATAGATATGGTGATTTTTCAGAGCCCAAAAACATACATATGAAATAAATTTTTATCTCTTTAGCTAGTACTCTGCAAAAAGAATGCATATGATGCATTTAAAAAATTACTCCACAGATGACGCTGTCTGTTGGATAATTCATATTATTTCCAACTGAATTAGGCAAACATTTTTTTTTATTATATGAAATTTCCATTCAATAATAAAACTGTTTATTCATTTAATTGTTTCGCATGAATTGAATATGTACAAGAGGTGTATTAGAGGATGGAGCAGACGTAGAAATGTGTAGGGTCAAAGTTTTTTGGTCCCGATCTAAAGAAAACTATTTCAGATTTTATTCGTATCACATCTAAACAAATCCTTCAATTGTTAGATCATACCCAGTGACGTAGTCAGGAATTTTTAAGTTATGAACCATTTTCCAGCTAAATTATTTTGAGGCATGGATAATTAAAAGTGAATTGAGCTATAGGCTTTTTAAAATTTATTGTCATCACAAAAAACCGATGTTTGTCGAAGAGAAGTCCATTACTCTCAACTAACGAACGAACTTTTTCAATTGCTCTCTTCCAATTTCAATAATTTTTTGCCTATAGATACTGTTTAGTGCTCTAGTAAAAACCCTTAAAGAATTTGTGTTCTTATCATTTTTGTCAACAGTTATGAGCATTTTAATTTTTTCCCTATAATACATAACATACAATGTGGGCCATAGACAGCACTACGATAGAAAAAAAATGAAATATTTTCACGTCAGTTCAATCAAATGGACTGACTTTCTTTGGTTCGTGATAGTAGTTTATTCAGAGCTAGTTTTTTTGCATACGGATGACAAGCAAATAGTGCTATTTATGGCTCATTCGGTACATTTGATAAAAATCAAAGTTGTTATCTTGGATTTTATTGAATAAATTTAATCATATGTTTCTGTTCGTGATAGAGTTGAATTTACATTAGATACTAAACAACAATTTAATTTTGATTATTTAAGAAAAAAAAAGAGCTTCCATCACTACTATAATAATATTCACATAAATGTGTAAGTCATTATTTAATGATTATTATCTTAAGCAAGATGAATTACAAACAATGAAAATCTCGTCCATAAACTAGTTAAATCTTCAACTATTGATTTTTTTTTCTGTCTTATAATTTTCATGCATGTAATCGATGATTAGAATAACTTATTATTCAATCTATTTCTGTCTTTGTGATTATTTTCGGTTGATATTTACTCTTTAGTTTTTTCTTCTAATGGTATATTTTCTTATATCTATCTATTAAATAGTCATAAACGCCATCAATATCTATGAAGTATGAAATAACACATATAAACAAAATGAATTACATAATATTTACTTATTAGATTTAAACTTTTTCTACTGTGAAAACATTTCACAAAACAAATAGTATCAAAAGACAAAAGCAATTTTCAATTAATTACATACAAGCAATACACTATTGTATTCATCACTTCTTCTATGGTATCGAATAAATGATTGAAACTATAAACAAAAACCAAAACATGATATCACGCATATGTTAATTCAAATATTTTTGCTGATATAATAGCAAAACAATTTGGTCATCATTATGCTATACAAAGAATCGGTGAATTCACTGCAACTGATCCATAGTAAGTTCCGTGTATTTTATCGATTGATTATCTTGATGTTATTCTTTTCCTCGAGGCTCAATATATCAACCGCAACGCCAATGAATATTCATCATACTACTACTAGTGATGATTTATTCTTTTAAATAAAATTTTTTTTTTCCCATCTATATCAATTCCAATTATAAAT